CCCAGAGTTTTTATTTTAGAACAACTGTATCAAGTCCCATTTTGAAACAGCACAAGTCTCTGAAGTAAGCTAATATGATAAAATAATCCGTGGAAGGTGTTAATGAATGATAATGAAGTCAGTGACACTCCCACTTAGGTATTCTATTTGCATTGCAAAAAGAGCATCTTACAGACATAAGGTCTTAGAAAGGAAAGCAATAATTAAGAGGGAGGTCAGACTAGTGGGAGAGGGTGAGGAATACTCTGCTATCTGCAGTCCTCTGCTCCATGCAGCTTTCAGTTCTCACACCTGGGTCTCTCAGGAGAGAACCCTTCTCCAAATCCTTCTACATTGGACACGCATCTCACAGTGTCTCAAATGCAAGAGAAAGACACATTTGTTTATTCCTATCTGCATGTCAATAGCAATGGTCAGAGACTTTTGATTACCTTTTAAATAAATAACAATAAAGTCATATAATAACAGTAAAGTGTCCTGAGATAATTCTCCAAATATTTTCAATTCATTCAGGATCTGTCATCACCTTTTATAGCTAAGATCGCTGTGACATAAAATAGGTATCTATCTACTACGCTATAAACTAACCTGACATGCTGAATAGTGTTGAGCTCTTTAAGCTTAGATTTTATTTTCCTGGCAGGCAGAGCGTTTATCCTGAATGTAGCTCTCAATCCTTGAAGCATCAGAGGTATCATTTCTGTGAATAATAAAAGCTGTATTTGAGTCCTTATTCTGCCTACAGATATGCAACAGAGGCCTCCTTCTATGTACAACATCACACAAAATACGCTGTCTTTCCTTCTTTCCTTCATATTTTAAGAACTTTCATCAGACAAATAAGTAGGCAATGAAAGTACTCAGATAAAACACTGATTTCCCTTCATTTATGGAAGGGCAAAGCAAAATTTCAGATAAAACAATAAAAACATTTTTACCAAATGAATTCATTTCTGTGTATTATTTAAGGCTAGGATTAATATGTTCTTGAGTTAGCATTGTTTATTTAAGCAATATTGTATTCCTCATTATTTACTTTAGAATTAGTTTTTAAATGAGGGTTAATTCACATTTAAATTTTTTTGACATTCCCCGCATCTCTACTTAAGCTAAAATGTGTTGGCTTACACCAATTGACATTGATAGTTGACTTTTAAGAAAATTTTAGTTGTACATGTTGGTAGTAAATGATTCATCTATCTCTTGGACTCATATATATATATATATATATATATATATATATATATATAACATATATTTGTGGTACACACTATAATGACCATGTTCCTTGTATGGACTTGTACATACACTCAACATATCACAATCCTCCCACCTTGTTAAGTCTCCTTTCCTCTCCTACCTCCCTCCTCCTGCCATCCCTTAGTTCACTTTCCATATTCTGCAAAGGTGACTTTTGACCCCTTCTCTCTGTCTTATTATGACTGTAGTGATTGCAGTGAGAGTCAACCACAACATTCATCACATCAAAGCTAATCACAAACATGAAGTAAGAAAAATTCTTTCTCCTTGAAGTTTTGAAACACCATGCAGAGAAAAACTAAATAGATGTGACTAAGAGAAAGGGTAAAATATTAAAAACAAATAAGGTATATTAAAGAAATTTGTTTTCTTTAAATCGATGTCACACCTTTTCAAAATTCCCTTTAGTTCTTTTTTTATTTTAAAGAAACAAAAAAGGTGATATAGAATTTCAAAACAAGATAGGAAATTAAAGATGGTTATTATATTGCATATTGCTATCTTCAAAGCAGTTGCTCAGATTCAAATGAAATTCACTTTGTTTATAAGAATTTATGAATTAAACTAATATTGTCAAATAGTAACAAAGAACACTTTGATGTCCTGGCATCAGACTTACTTTAAGAAACCATTTCTACTTATTCACAATTTAAGTGGATATTTGATGATACTTATAGTTGAGGAATTATAAGACAGGTTAATTATATTCATTGTAACAATCTGCTTTTGTCTTTAGTCTTTGTAAAAGTGTGTGTGTGTGTGTGTGTGTGTGTGTACATATGTTTTCATATTAGGGGCAAGCATATTTTCAGGAAGGAACACAAACTATTTACATACCTTCTTTCACAGATTAGTTTTTGAAAGAATGTCCATCATTAAAACAAGTAAATATTGAGTGATGGAATAATAGAAAATAGAAGAAAACTGCTGAATCTCACAAATAATACCATTTTTATT